AACAGTCTCATGTTTTTTCAAAATTTCGTCTTTTTTGTGATCACACTTTGAGAGAGAATTAAAATTGGAATTGACTGATATTTTATCATGTATTAAGTTTTAAGCAGTTTTTCATATTGTTTCTTTCTGAACATGTCACTACAGTTTATCACATTTATCTTTATCAATATTCTAACTTTCATTTTGAACACTCTGGGTTTCCGTAGATGAACACAAGGGGGCATCACAGCTGCTCTGACGCTGCAGGGGCTCCGGCACAGATCAGCTTCTGCAGCGTCAAACAAACTGAGATGAGGCTTTTCAAGTTTGTTGCTCCCGGCGTGGATCTAGTTTTTCGTGTGACGCCATTAGAGCTGCGAGATGAGTCAACAGATCGTCCACTGAATCATGACGCTACGATAACGAAGAGTCTGTACGAGTGCGTCCACGTTGACGAGTTTTATCAAACGAGGTCAAATGGTTCAAAATAAAAACTAAGATATTTCCTGTGTAACTATTGAAACAGGAGTGAGAGTAACAGTATGATGATCAGTATCTGGAGTAACTTACGAACTGTAACTTTAACTTCCTGGTTCAGAGCGTAGACGGGGTTCAGCCTCCCGATCACAGATCCAGGGTCAGAGGTCAAACGTCTCGGGGAGTGGCTGATATATTGATATGTGAGAAGGGTTCAACACAAACAGAGGAATAAAGTACTGCAATAATAAATAAGACACTTTCCTTGTCATGTGTGAACGGACAAGAAATCAACTGAAAATAAACGTCCAGAGGATTCGATGAATCGACGAAGAACACGAACGAGTCCCGTTTAGAATCGGACAAAACTTCTTCTCCAAACATCGTCCGCAGCGAAACAGAGACATCCTACGACTGCGTGTGTTCGCTGTGCGAGCTGAGGCAACTTCACGATTCTCGTCAAGTTTAAAACGGTTGTCTCGTGAGGTTTCGATATCAAATCACGCTTCTGTTGCCTTCTGGAGTCGACTTCTCGTCAAAGGAAGAAACGAGAGAACAAAGCTGCGTACCACACGTCCTTCAACCAACATGGCTGCCATACACAGACACACACACACACACACACACTCACACACACACACACACTTCATCAACAAGAGACGCACATGACGAGAACATAAAAGCAGAAACATGACAGGGATGGTTTGAATGGTGACGGCTGAGCAATGATTGGAGAAGTGAGTTGATATGAGACTTGTGCAAACGCTCTGCTTTCCTGTTCACCTCCTGCCGAGTCATTAATCTGATAAATCTACTCTGTGAAGAGAGACACATTCTGCTGTCCGGGTCAACGTGCATCCGCCCTGGTTTGGAAAAAGCATCTCGCCATTAAAGACATTTTCGTCTCACCGGAATCCAAACGGAACCATTATCCCGTCGGGGCCTCGGGGCAGATTTCCAGGCGACTGAAGGAGGTGATGGTACCTCGAGTTCGGTCTGCGCAGATTGTTCTCAAAACAGATTGGGTCAATTTTTGCTTTTCGAACCCGACGTCATGAGTTTAAATGCTGAGATGCTTTCTAACCAGGCAGAGTGAGAAAAGGCGTTCAGGGGAACACAGTCACCACAGCTGCTGTCTGCAGCACCTTCAGTACTCAGAGAATCCCCTTCTTGAAAAGGTATGGCTTTTTTCTTCTTCTTTTTTATTAAACAGGCGCCCCGGGGAGACGGAGGCCTGAACAGTCCGGACGAGGAAGCAGCACGAACAATAATAATCGTCTTCGGAACAACAACGGAAGCTTCTGTACAATCAGGCACAAAAATACACGTTTTCTCTGACAAACTCCAGAATCCTTCGTTCTTTGGTTCCACAGTAGAGGGGAAGCTCCTCCCACAGTATCGAGAGAATCCCGGCGGTCTGAAAGTGAGGAGAGTCGCTGCGTCGGCAAAAAGCTCTGGATGCTACAGGGCTGCGGGGGAGGGGGGGGGGAGTGCAGCGGTTTCCACAAAAGCTCAAAAAGTTTCTATTACATGACTTCTGCTGCCAGCCGACGACCCCGAGGAGGTTCTTCACGTCGTCTGGTTGTGGTTGCTACATGTGTGATCCTGGTTTGTGTTAAAGCGCCTCAGTGACGATGGTCGATGGTCGATGCCAACAAACCAGCTGGGTCATATGGTACAGTCCAGGTCAGGAGTCTCCATCCTGTGTCCACAGCTACGTCTCACTGGATCACTTCAGTTTCAACCAAAACAAGTTTGGAACCTGCAGGAAAATTATCTGCAGAGAGTTCACCCGTTAAATACAAAACTCAACGCATCGAGTCTGAAGCTTTCAGATTTTTCTGCAGGACTCAGTTTCTCTCAGCAGCAGAGAGTCTGATCATCGTTGCTGTTCAGACGCCGTCTCGTCTTTCAACGTCGCTTTCAACGTCTCTACCAAGAAGGAAGAAATAAATCAGGAAACGTCCTTTGGTTTCAAACGATGCAACAGCTCCTGTGTCAAGTTCGCTTTGCAACTCGCTGAAGTGAGTTTTTTATTGGAGTGTGTTGATTAAAATGGCGGCAGGGGGAGTGGTCAAGACTCAAAGGAAAGTGTCCCCCGGCTCTGTGCGTTACGGTCAGTGGCCCCTGGGAGTCAGCAGTGGGTGGCCTCGATGGGCGACAGCGTCAGGATGCTGCGATCGTTAGAGTAGAAGTTCTCCGTGTCGCCCCAAGACCTGAAAACAGGCAGTGACCGAGGATTAGGACACTGATGCTGTGTGTGAGAGTGTGTGTGTGTGTGTGTGTGTGTGTGTGTGTGTGTGTGTGTGTGTGTGTGTGTGAGGTGTTTTGTGTTAACAATCATCACAACCAGGCTGAAGAAGCAGAGTGAGAGGTGGAGGAGTGAAGAGTTAGTGATGAGTGTGATGTTGTTAGTGATGAGGATCTCAAGTCTCCACCTTCACTCACTGAACCAGAGTCAGATTTAAGATCTGGATTAATGTCCAGACTAAATAATGACGATGAGGAAATTCTTCATTCAAAACTTTAACTGTGGATTATTCAATGAAGAATAAAGCTGCAGAGAAACAAAGATTTAAAGTGTTTTCTGGTTTTGTTCCGAGGTGAGAGGAGACCTGAGATACACAACTCGTGAACATGAAGTCAACAATCACCATAAAGAGAAATCAATCATGAATCACACTCGTGCTACACACTGAATACATCTGCTCCCAACCAGAAACAGAAGTAGATTTCTGATGAGATATAAATACATAAGTACAGCAGGCGGTTTAAAAATCTCAAGAAAAATATATGTCTATACTCAAACTGTACGATCTTCTCTCACAACATTAAACGTACGTCTACGGAATCAAACCAGCAAACTGGGTCTGTTTTGACAACGTCCAGCAAAGACAGATGCAGACCAGTGCACGATGTCGTCTTTTTATAAAACTCTAACTAACAGTCTACGTCGAACACGGACAGAACATCCCGACACGGATTCATCAGGAAAGAGGCAGAGGATGTTCTGTTGAAGGTCACGACCACCGAACCTTTACTGCATCAAACAGGAACCAGAGCCAACGATCAGAGCCGAGAGTTCAAACAGTTCATCCCCTGATCTTCACAAGACTGCGGTAAAGTGTGTGTGTGTGTGTGTGTGTGTGTGTGTGTGTGTGTAGCTCTGACCACTGTTTCATACCAGAGAATACACTAACAGCAGCCTTGTCTCATTTCTGTTCCTTTCCACCTGTTTGTTTATGTCCTTTAATTTTCTAAATGTCAGTCGACCTGCTCTGAATAATTCTCCCGACCTTTAATTTAACGCTGCTCTGCGAGACGAAGACAACCGTTTTAAAAACCTGGTAAACATGAAAACAGGCGGATGACTCAAATGGTGGTTTGACTGGAGGCGCTCTCACGTGCTACGTGACTAGCTCAGCTGTCTACCGGCGGTGAGGTCAAACAGGAAACATCTCGGTGCTAAAACCATCTTCGCTCCCCGGGTTACGACGGAACAAAGACGACATTAGCACCGAAAAACACTTTTGGGATGAGCCAGTGGGAACGTGAACCCAAGAAAGGAACAGGACAAGGCGGAGCTCACAGGGGACATTAACAGCACAGGAATAATTCATCTGGAAGGTCGAACAACATTATGCAGATTTCAGACACAAAGGCACAAGGACACAGGAAGACAGAGGGGACAGAAAAAGGACTAGTGCAAGAGGATGAGTGTGTGCGGGGGCACAGATACATACAAGTTTACACAGAATACAAAATACCAAAGGCAACAGCAGCCCCCATGCAACAAGACAGAGTCTGGGCATGCTTGTTTTGTAGCCTGTAGGGGGCGCTACACCCAGGTTATAAAACAAGCATGCCCTCAAAGTTGGCCTCTTCTCAGAAGCACATATAAGGCTTCGGGATCCAGTAGAAAAAGACTGTTAGATACATGAAGTAGCAAAAACCAAAGAACTCTCAGATACTACACTTCCCAGCAGCCTCTCTGGTTCAGGATGTGGTCCCCTTGTTTTACGAGAGGAGGAGGAGGAGGAGCGAGAGATGTCTGACAGTAGCTGAATCTTCATCACTGGACTCAACTGATGTTGTTCGATGTCTTAGTTTAATTATACACGTAATTATAAATAACTGGAAATAAAAAAGCACAAAATATAAAAAAGTTAAATATAACCACACTCCTCATAAAGAAACACGGTACTGATTTGTCTGTAGACGGCCAACAGATCCTTCTGCTCCACGTTGTTAACTTTAACAGTTTGATTTCTATTAAAAAACAACAAACTGGGTTTGAAGCTGACTTTAAGTTTGCTAATTAAATAATCGTAAAAGACGTTTTCAAAATGATTGTTCAGAGTTGTCGTGGATGCATTCCTGCTAATTGAAGCACGTCAAAAGACTCAATTTGATTTGTCCGGAGACTCAGCTGCTGTTAAAAAACATCTCGGACTCCTCACGTCCGTGTCTGTTCCTGCTTTGTCGTCCCAAGACATAATTCAGCTGCAGCCAGCATTCAGCGCTGCAACAACAGACCAAGTCAAGCAGCCAGCTACAGTTAGGCTTTGAATAAATATCAGATTAATTCTTGATGTTTTATATACGTTGCTAATATGCTTGCTATACGTCCCTTCCAGTCACTGAGCGTGTTATATAGGACTGGGTGATTACATTCCCTCCCCCCTATGGCAGTATCCTAGCATTAAGGCCAAATGTGGGAGTCTCACTAATCGCTCTCTGTGGTTTTCTGCTTTGTTTACTTAAACCCAGAGGGTGAGGAGGGGCCGACAGGTAAGAGAGAGGGGGGGACACACGAACTAAAGCATTTTACTAATGTTCATTGTTGGTTTTTATCCCTCTGGGAGTTTAAATCGACGTTTGCTCAGATGGAATCGTGTAATTAGTCGAGGTCAGATGATGCGTAAGATGTTTGTTATTTGTACTGCGGCCCAGCAACCTTCGCCAAATTACAGTCAGTCTCAATTATATGTCTCAGCGATGAGATTACTCATACTGCTCGATCCCTCAGACCTGACTGACTGTGATGACACAGTCGTCTGCTCAACTGCAAGGGCTGGCAGGTTGTTGCCCAGAGGGGCTGAAAGAAGAGAGGGGGGGGGGAGAACAATGCAGTGCAGTGCATCCCTTATTTTACCTGCATGCTGTCATAACCTTTACTCAAACACACGAACACGTACGTGTCCACAACCTCTGACTGTGCGAGGTCCACTGCAAAACACTCAGACACAAAGAAAGCTACATCTTCATAATTGATCTGATCGATACAGAGTGTCTCAAAGCAGTTTTGGGGATTATTGATTGCTCAGCAGAAAGGGCCGATCAGGTCAATTAATCAATGACCTCCGCACTCTGGGATTCAGGTAAAAAAAGACGCAACAACACAGAAACTGCAGACTGAGCAGACCCGCAAACTGTGAACTCAGCGCCCTCGTCTTTAAAGCTGCACTAGGCAAAAAATATTTCGTGGGAAAAAAAATAGATAAATCAATAAAGAAAATGAAGTTGTTGATGTTTTCTCACCCTTTATCACAAAGTTGTGCTGCAGCAGAGGAGGAATTTGATCTGCAGCCACAAAGAGTTCACTTTGTGCAGGAAACAGACATCATGTTTTGTTATATTTAACTCTCACGGACGTTTACGGCTCCCAAAATGCTAAATTGCTGAGTGCAGCTTAAAAGCTGAGTCACAACAAACTCCCACTTGATATGAAGCACTTTATGTCCCTTCAATCCCCGGTTATAATACTAGAGATGTGCACACCCACATTTGGTGTTTGGATCATATACGATTCCAGTAGCTTCATCTCAAGTGGAGAAGTCCAACAATGAACAAGAGGAATCACAGCAGAATATGGAAATCAACCTAAAGCTATTAAGTCAAATCAATAACTGACATATAGACGAGGGTGTCATCCGCTAAAGTGCATTACAGAGAACACAGTTGTGCTTGAAATCAGGCAAACTCCCAATCTTCGATTTCAGACGTGTTGAACAGAAACGGGACAGAATAACGGATGATAGACGATAAGAACAGAGACACGTGGTTAATAGACGGACGCCCTAATGTAGAGGCAACACAGACAAGACAGGTCACAGACTATAGTGTAATGGAGACCTGTTGGGTAGAGCCCGACAGATATATCACATAGATGTCCCACAGGAAGTCTTTGGGCATGGACACATTTAGAAATGCTGAATAAATAAATGATGAAACAAGTTGTCCTGCTCGGGGACAGACGGACAGAAAAGACAAAGCACAGAGCAAAGGCTCTGGGACTAGAACAAATCCACTGAGGTTCAGAAGTCTGAGCTTTAGACCTCATTGTATGATTAATATTGTCGTCTGGTCGATATTAGACGTATCGGTCGGGCTCTACTCTTGGTTGTCTTCAGTCTATTGGCCTCAATGAGATTACTGGGACCCACATTGTCCAAGGCTTTCCTGCCAAACATCCATATCTGCATGCTACATAGACGGCATGGGCATATAGATGTATTCAGTCACTGGTCTCTATAGTTTTGGTTGCTGATATTCCTCTCATCATACACCACGAGGTTAATATTTCTGTCTGGCTAATCGAACTGTCCAGACACTGATGGAAATAAGAAACCAACAATGCAGTTCATCTTGATCCAAACATCTTCAGCCTCCTCCTTCAGCTGGATTCCCAAAGTCCTGCTAAGCCACAAACCCGTACACCAGTTTCTATGCCCATTAGAAACCCAGCTCCCCCACGGCTGCATACCCAAACCAAATATGAAACGGAACAGGCAAAACTTACAGTTGAGCTGTGGCCACATTATGAGCTACAGCTCAGAACTGGAGTCCAAATTTTTGAAACCACGAGGTGGTGTCGGTTCGTCAGGTTTCATAATCATTGTTAGTAGTCGTCGTGGTCCTCCCCACCTGTTGTTGCAGCTGGATGCCGGGCAATGGTTGTCACCGGCCGGGCACTGCCCTGTCATTTGCTCCAGGAAGCAGACCAGGCGGGAACAGCCGCTCTGCCCATGTTGGTAGCAGCACAGGGACTCCACACAGCTGAGGGTCTGCGCGGGGGCTGATAGAGACTGAAGGAAGGTGAAGAAGGTTGAGAAAGAAAGGGTGTGAAAAGTTGGAAGCAAAGGAGAAGGAAAGAGGGAGAAGTGAGAGGACAAAGAGAAGAAATGAATACCAACACAGTCACATTCTGAGAGGATGATGAGGGTGACGGCAGGATGACGTACTGCATGCTGTCACAACAACAATGATGGACAGAGGAGTCATTTCACACATGCTACACGAGGGGGTGACGTGTTGCAAATACATAAATCATAAAACTAATAAACAAATAAATAAGAAAAAAGAGTTTTGACTTCAGTTAAAAACAAGACCATCAAGAAAACTCAGTTCCTTCAGACTGAGCTTTATCAATGGCTCAGCTCGAACCTGCTTAGTGTTGTTGTGTGACTTCCGAGCTTCCTGCTCTAAAGATGGACTCTCTCTCTGTTGCAGTTCTTTCTGTCACTTCTATGATGGATCACTCACTCTGCATCCAATCCATAACCCGCAGCACAAACTAACCGTGATCCAAGGCCAGTCGATCACAGCAATAACAGCCAAGCTCTTTTTTTCTTGACTACCTTTCCATCAAAATGATATTTTATGTCACACTTGATAATTTAATCTTCACACAAATTGTATAACTTCATGTCCTGGGATAAAGATCATGGATATTCAGCCTGCTTCTATTTTACCTACTGATCATATGGACAGTATGTGTCATGAGAAATGAGACAGTGTCGTCATCGTCTATCCAGATCTTCTCGTTTTCATGATACGTGAAAATCAAAGCAAAGTATTGTCTACACTAATGTAGGAGTTGGCAAGCAGTGGAAAGAAATGAGACTGGCAGACAAAGCTGAATGAAGTTGCTGCCAAGAAACCTGAGAGATCAGGTGGCTCTGCTGTCTTGAGTCAGCACCCGAGAGAGAGACAGAGAGACAGAGAGACAGAGAGAGTGTGAGGGAAAAATAAAGAGCAGAGAGACAAAGAGAAGACAGAGACAGAGAGTGAGGTTACACTCATGTCGTCTGCATCCTGATCAGGACAGAGCAGCATCATTAGAGATTAACCTCAGAGTAAATTTAGTGACCCATCTGGTCCGTGAATCAGCTTCAATTTGTACTTTTTGCAATAATCAATTACGGGCATCATCGATTTCTCAAGATCAAAACTTGCAGAGCAGCAGACTTTATAATTCTCTCCACATTCACGTGTGACTGAATGAAAAGTTTTGACTCTGTCGGGTTTAAAAACCTCCAGCGTCTTTCATCAAATGGAGAAACACCGAACTCTAAAATGCTTCTTTACGGCGTAGAGGCAGCACATCGGATATTTTAAACATGAGCCCTGATGTAGCCACAAAATTCTTGTGCTGTGTGGCCGAACGTGTGACGCTTGCTTTGGCTTGTGACGTTGCTGTTTTTACTTTTCTCTGCAGCAGAAATTGGAGACACTGCTGGCATGAAATCAAACTATTGTTTTCCTGAAGCTGGAAAACACTGACCAAACTGAAAATGGATTGTGCTGGCAGTGTCAGACGTCTGTAAATAATATTGTGAGCGCATTGTTTTGCTCTTAGATCAGAACATACTGTCTTTTACTGCAACACAAGACTCACCAGAAAACACACAAACCAACAGAAAGTAGCTGTGACAACAACTTCACCACAACCGTACCCAGATTGAAATGTTTCCCAGACTTGTGTTCATTTGTTGTTGAAGTGTCCTTGGTGTTTTTATGTCGGTGAGACCACATGGGTGATAAATGTAGGTTTAAGCTGTAATGACCCACTCAAACCAACCGAGCGTCAAGTGGTGAAGTATCAATCAGTCAACACCGAGGCAGAGGTCAACAGGGTTCACATTCTGCAGTTTTCATGTTAGATTCAAAGCTGCTCCTCTGTCTGGATTATGGGGGAAGCTCAAGAGAGAAGAATCAACTGAATGAGCCACTTCACCACCGCAATGTTTGTGACAAATTGCCAAACCATGACTGACTGATTATAGTTCTCTTTAACAGTGAAGAATTCTGAGAAACAGATCCTAGAATTAAAGGTTTTGATATAAACTGAGCAGGGCCTCAGTGAAAGCTGTATAACTGACACCATTTCCCTGGCTGATTTATTTACTGTATGTTCAGCCACAAGCATTTTAATTAACTAAAGGCTGATTAATGCTCAATATTCGATGCATATACAGAAACGGACGGAGCCTTTTGTCTTGTGATGAAAAAAGATAAAATAAAAGAGGAACGTAAAGAAAATAAAAGATATGAATCACACAAAATAATGGTTTTATGAGATATCAAATACTCACAAGTCATCGAATGAATAAAACATCATTCCGACGTCAATATGAAATGTGTTGGGAATAGATGGTTGAACAAAAGCACGGTGAAGACAATGAAGTCAGCATGCCAACAGCATTCTCCCTCTCTAACCCCTGAACCTGTGTCTGAGCAGTAACCAAGAGGAATGGAGGTGCAGCAGGTTACAGGGAAAGGATCATGGCTGGTTAGGGAGGAAGGGGTCACAAGGATTAGATTATCCATGCAAGGGTGGATGGATGGGGTTGACCATGACTGTCATTCATACAGGGAATTGAAATAAAGGGGCAGTTTAGGGGCATTCAGCCATGGGGGCGGGGTGCAGAGGGTTGGAGGCCTTAATGCTGGGGTAGGGACATCATGAGGGGCAGTGAAATACACGGATGGTACTACCTAGGGGAGCAGGGGTCTGGGCCGGGGGTAGCAGGGGGAGGATAAGCAGCTAGCAGGTGCCAATTGTCCTCCCCTGGGCTCCGCTGGACTTTAACAGGGTCATATTCTGGGCCGACTGAACCCTCACCCTCTTCCATCTGAGGGACACAAGATGCTTACAGTGAGCCCCGCTGGCTCGTTACACATCTCATCCATCAGGTGCACTGCTGTAAAACCAGCCTGCTGACGAACCAATCACGCTGCAAAAAATATCCACTTCGGTCTTAATAGCACGAGCACTTTTTAAAATGCTAATGCAGGTGTGTCTGGGATGTATTCTTGATTTCAAACATCCTGATTTTGAGTTCCATGTTCATTTGATAGTGGTTTGAAATCATCTCTCAGACATCACTGAAGACTTAACGATCAAAGTTAAGGTGGATATGCTTCTTCAGTGCTGCTTGTTTAGCAATGAGCAGATCAGCCAGTTAGTGAGCCAGTGATCAGTCTGTCAGTAGACACGTTTACATGGACACCCTTATTTTGATATTAACTCCATTAAGAAGTCAGTCTGACTAAGACAGTGCCACGTACACAGCATTTTCTAAACTCATATTCAAAATAACGTCTCACTGAGAATAAGGTCAACAGTTAGTATTGGTGTCCATTAAACGTCAGTCCAGTAAGCTCAGAAATAGCTGTAAAACCAATGAGCAGAAAGAAGCTGCAGGCATTCCAAATGTCTCAAGGGACAAAGTTCCTTCTAGCGCAGATAAGAGCAAATCTATTAGCATCCAAACCAATCAAGCGGCTGCTGAATCTATCAGAGCTACAAAGTAGATAAACAACAGGAAACCCAGGAGAGTATTCTGGGGGATTAATTCCCCATCAAATTAGAAAGGACAGAATTGACAGAATTGAATAATTTGCATTATAGAGCAACATTAAAACACCATTTAAAGCCAGTGAGGGCCTCGTGTAAACTTCCACTGATTCAACAAACAAATTACTTAGAAATACCAACTCCTCTGCAGGAAGCGTTCTGTTCCTGGTTACTATGATCTGCAAGTCTACAGTTTGTTTCTGCTCAAACATTCTATGGGATGGAACCTGCATGGATATAATTGATAGGTTGAAATATATACTTAGTTGCCGGTTTATTAGGTTCAACTAATTCTGTAATAAATCCTACCTTCACAACATTTAGTTGAAACTGTTTCAGGAATGTGTTGTTTTAACTTCACCCTCCTTCTATGTATGAATGTGATGTTATATGTATTAAATGGGATATTTCCCAATGATTATCTTGTGGAGCTGATCAACGTAAAAACAAACCATAGAGACAAGCTAAGTCTTATATGGATCAGAAAACTATTCACAATGTTATTGACATCATGAAGGAATCAATCTGCAGGAATCTCTGCATCCTACAGGATAAAGACACGAAGTTCACATATATAGACACATAATTTATGATCATATGGTTAGAATGCATTGACACTATGAAGTCAGAAAATGATTGTTGTGCATTAACTTTTGCAACCGATTAGATTAAATACAATCTGCAGCTTAAATGACCATAAAGTTAAATGTCAGGTTGAAGTTAAGATTTACAAGATGTGTTAGACTGCATCTGTTTTTGCAAGATGTATAAACTGGCAACTAAGTGAAATGTAAACCACTGTAAACAATAGAAACAACTATTGTGCAAGCATATCCCAGCAAGAGCTTCAGAATCAGAAAAAGTGTTTTGTTTTATAACCATCAGGGTAAAGATATACATGCAGCAAAAAACATATTTGACATAAACCTAAAATACATTAGACAACGTATTGCACACGGTTCATTCACATGATCTTGGACAATTCAAGAGGCTGTCCAAGATCAAGGGAATATCGTAGTCGCCTGCCGTCATCACAGACAACTCACACTATCGGTACCATTTCACCTGCAGGCTGTTTATTGTGACATCTACTACGACGGCACAAGATCTTCAAGGCATCATTCCAAAATAGCTGCAATAATAACACAGCTGTCTGTCACGTTTCGAGTGGGACAGCCTCATGCTGCTGTGCCCTGACACGTCACGTCTGTCATGCAGCTGCAGTGTTGCTATCAGTCTTCTTCTGTGAGTCTGTTGAAACCATGCAGGGGAACAACTCTGAGCTAAGAGGGGTTTTCTAAAGTGGGGAAACCAGTCTGAGGGTGTACGGCTGGCAAACGTCAAGAAGATGGACCATACTGTGGAAACGGGGGGGGGGGGGGTTTGATGGGCTGCACCATGCGACTGATGTCCCTCTAAACATGCCAGACTCAGACTGTGGTTGTATGAGTCCACGATGGTCAGGAGGTGGGTCTGACCAGGTGCTCGGATTTGGGACGAATGCAGATGCAGGACGTCAGAGTCAGAACAGAACCAAAACCTCAAATACAGTCCCTGCATGGCAAAACTGTATAATACTGAATAATGAGTTCCAGGGGAGCAATCAAGATGAAGCAAGGGAGGATTCCCAGGCAAGTTCACAGTCTTTCATTCACTCATCCATTCATCTGTTTGTTCATGCAGAGGAGGGAGTGATTGCATTTCCATGCTGAAGCAGGCAGGAGGTCTGATGGTGGATTAAAGTGCAACACATGCAGCGGCTGAAAGTCACATTCTGCTGCATCGTCTCTAACCCCAAAAGACCCAAACATGTTTAATCCCCAATCACGGAGAATGCTGCACTCACAGACACTCACAGACACTAAACAATAAGGTGGAGTTCCAACACTAACGGCAGAAAGTGCACTGCCAGTGTCAGAAACAGGAGTAAGTACGACTAAATCAAGTCCAGACCTGGGAGGAAGAACATTCAGTTGTGTATTAATGATGGTGAAGAGGAGTGCTTGTTCCATAAAGCAATGTTTCTACATTTTAGGGGTTGCATGTGTTGCTGGAATAGAGACTTTAAATAT